TTCTCCCTTTATCCATCTCTCTCCTCCCTTCCTCTTTCTTTCCCTCCCTCTTTCTCTCCAACTCCCCCCTCCTTGTTCCCTTCTTTTCGTCTCTCCCAAAAGAAAATGACACACGGGCGGCCCTCCATCCATCTTCCTCCGAAATTGAGCCGTCACTATACTCGGCTGAGATTCATATTTGTCCAGCGCCTCCCCTCTCAACCCCCTCCCACTCCCCCTCTACCTCCTTATCCCCTCCCACCCCCTTACCCCCTTCCTCCATTCTCTCCTTCCTATCCCCTCCTCCCGTCCTCTTCTTTACCACCTCCCCCCTGGCAGGCTAGGGGGAGAGGATCACTGTTACCAGACCACATAGGACAGTGAACCCTCAAACAGCCAACTCATAAAATAATAACCAACTCACATATATATGGCTCGAACCTTTGTCCTCAGGGTGCAGTGTTTACCAAGTTGCCATTTACGCCAAAGCGGAGAAAAATTCAAGTAATTGTGTCGTGTTTAGAACTTATTGGACTCTTGGGGTAGGCTATATAACCCTTATCTATGCTGCTGTGAGAAATACAGTGTCATTATGATGGAAAGCGGTGACAGTAATCCTTAGCAATTATAGAATATGATGAATGGGTAAAGGTTATAATGAAATGCGGAAAGAAATGGTTGAAGGAGAGAGAGAGAGAGAGAGAGAGAGAGAGAGAGAGAGAGAGAGACAGACAGAGAGGTGTTCCTTGGTCATATCTACGTTTTTCCTCTCAATATTTAACATTCTTCTCACTTTAACAAATATTCTCCTTAACATTTATATTATCATTTAGTATTTAACATTCATAGTAATATTTAACAAGAATTCACATCACTAATTATTTCTTTTACTCGTATTAAAGGTACAATATATAACTCATTATGCTTACACAAGTCACCTGGGCGCGTTTATGACTCAGCTAATTCGTCTCATCACGTAAACAAAAACATCACGGGGGGGAGGGGGGGGGGCATTCACAAGCGGATACATAAAAATAGAAACATGCTCTACATAAACTAAATAACTACTGTATATAAATCACGCGCATCTACTGTGATTTATTACCATAATTACTGTACATGGAACAATTATCTATCTTTATGTTGTATTTTTTTTGAGGGTGTAATACCGTATATTGCCCCCGCCCCCTCACCCTCACCCTGGCGTAATGCCTTGTTCTACGACAACACTAAATGAGATGAATTACTCTTCTAAGCCAAGGAAGGTAATTTCTCAGTGACTCGTAAGGGGTATTTGTGACGCTGACTGACTACACAGGCTGACCGGTTCTAAGAGAATTTGTCTGAGTATTTTGAAGTCTCAGCGTAATATCGACGTCATTGGAGAATTGGGAGTAGCCATCTCTCTCTCAGTCAAGGAGGTATGAGATATGTTTTACGTTCCTTTAGTTAAGGCGGAAAACTTATAACTTATAAATCTTTATCAATCGTAGCATGTAGGTGATTAAACTGTGGTACGTGATTGGAGACTGGATACAAGATTAAGAACCTCATTTCAAGATTATAAGCTGGGTACAAAAAACAAAAGAGCCACACATTGGAAGCCACCTAACCTAACCTAACCTAACCTAACCTAACGTAGCCTAACCTAACCAAACCTAACCTAACCAAACCTAACCTAACCAAACCTAACCTAACCAAACCTAACCTAACCAAACCTAACCTAACCTAACCTAACCAAACCTAACCTAACCTAACCAAACCTAACCTAACCTAACCAAACCAAACCTAACCTCACCTCACCCTTGGCAACATTATAAACACGAAACCTTAGATAAACTATACACCTGACCCACACACCTACACCTGACCCACACACCTACACCTGACCCACACACCTACACCTGACCCACACACCTACACCTGACCCACACACCTACACCTGACCCACACACCTACACCTGACCCACACACCTACACCTGACCTACACACTTACACCTGACCCACAGTACACAAGCTGATGCAGAAACACCTGAGTTACGGATCATTATTGCACCATTTGCACCGTATTGCACAGATACAAACACGTGGCTTAAAAAAATACATTGACTGATTTCATGGTTATTGCAAAGAGCTTCATTAGTGTTTATTGTTATTCTATGAGCTCGCTCTCTCTCTCTCTCTCTCTCTCTCTCTCTCTCTCTCTAAACACACATGCATTACATACCTTAGGGACCTGCATCACGGTTAAGGCAGGTGAGGCGTGATAGGTGTAAAAACAGGTTAGGTTAATAAGATAATCTAGGGAGTAAAGTGAGGGGATAAGCTCACCTGCCTCGGGACTCAACCCATATTTAATTATCTGCTGTGATCTGACGTTGAGGTAACCAGGTAAGGGGAGATGTAGGGGAGGGTAGTGTCTGCCTGTCTGTCTGTCTGTCTGTCTGTCTGTCTGTCTGTCTGTCTGTCTGTCTATATAACAATATCTCTTATCTCTCTCTCTCTCTCTCTCTCTTTCTCTCTCTCTCTCTAATTACTTGTAATGACACCCAGGTAAAAATCTTAATGGTCAATTACGTTTCTTCTCACCTTGGAGTCAGAGACGAGAAAACCTGTCGCACATTACTTCATCCCTGGCTGGTGTGAGCCTGGCGGAGAGAGAGAGAGTGAGAGACAGGGGGTAGAATGAGAGAGAGGGGGTAGAATGAGAGAGAGGGGGGTAGAATGAGAGAGGGGGAGAGATGAGAGGAGAGGGGTAGAATGAGAGAGAGGGGGGATATGAGAGAGATGAGAGAGAGGGGGTAGAATGAGAGAGAGGGGGTAGAATGAGAGAGGGGTAGAATGAGGAGAGAGGGGGGTAGAGAGAGAGGGGTAGAATGAGAGAGAGGGGGTAGAATGAGAGAGAGGGGTAGGGGAGAGAGGGGAGAGAGAGAGGGGTAGAATGAGAGAGGGGGGTGAATGAGAGAGAGGGGTAGAATGAGAGAGAGGGGGGTAGAATGAGAGAGGTAGAATGAGAGGGGGGGATCGTAGAATGAGAGAGAGGGGGTAGAATGAGAGGGGGGAGGGGGATGAGAGAGGGGGAGAATAGGCGGTAGAATGAGAGAGAGGGGGGTAGAATGAGGAGAGGGGTGAGAGAGGAGAATAGAATGAGAGAGAGGGGTAGAATGAGAGGGGTAGAATGAGAGAGAGGGGGAGAATGAGAGAGAGAGGGGGGAAGAATGAGAGAGAGGGGGTAGAATGAGAATGAGAGAGGGGGTAGAATGAGAGAGAGGGGGAATAGAGAGAGAGAGAGAGAGGGGGAATGGAAGAGAGAGAGGGGGTAGGAATGAATGAGAGAGGGGGTAGAATGAGAGAGAGGGGGGGGAGAATGGAGAGAGAGGGGTAGAATGAGATAGAGGGGTAGAATAGAGAGAGAGGGGGTAGAATGAGAGAGGAGGGGGTAGAATGAGAGAGAGAAAGAGAATGAGATAGAGGGGTAGAATGAGAGAGAGGGGGTTGGGATGAGAGAGAGGGGGTAGAATGAGAGAGAGGGGTAGAATGAGAGAGAGAGGGGTAGAAGAGAGAGAGGGGGAATGAGAGAGAGGGGTAGAATGAGAGAGAGAGAGAGAGATGTGTGTGTGTGTGTGTGTGTGTGTGTGTGTGTGTGTGTGTGTGTGTGTGTGTGTGTGTGTGTGTGTGTGTGTGAGAAAGAAAGAGACCGTGGTAGAGAGAGGGTGAAAGAAAAAGAGACAGGGAGAAAGAGAGAAGAGACAGATAGATATAGAAAGAACCCAAACCAACTCATAATCTCTGTCTCTGTTTTCTTTCCTCCATTTTCCTCTCTCTCTTCCCAATCCCCAACATCCTACTTCTCTCCCTCCCTTCCTCCCAACCCCTCACCCCCGACACCACGTCAGGGTTTCCCGAGGAAGGACTCAGATTAATTAATGTCGGTCGTGTGACTTGGAGAGGAGGAGGAGGAAAAATAAACTTGGTCATCCCGCACAATTTATCAGGAAAGAGAAGGACTAACCGAGTTATAATCGATGTTCATTTGTCATAGTTTCTTGTTACTGATCACTTTTTATGTCTCTTATAGTCTTGTTCTGTCACTTATACCGAAGCATAATCGATGTTCATTTGTCACAGTTTCTTGTTACTGATCATATCGCTTATAGTCTTGTTCTGTCTCTTATACTGAACCATAATCGATGTTCATTTGTCACAGTTTCTTGTTACTGATCATGTCTCTTGTAGTCTTGTTCTGTTACTTATACAGAAATCATAATCGCTGTTCATTTACTATGGTCGCTTGCTGTACGTGTAGGTGGGTCACATCTTGTTGAGCATTTTTACATTATGTTGTCGGTTTTGTTGTGTGCTCCATTACATTATCATAAGTGGAAAGTTAACGTTGGATCTTCCTTTAAGGTTCTTTTTTTTAAGTTTATTTGTATAAGATTGAAAATTATTTATTTTCTGAACTTTTATGTATGCCTTTTTCACGCACTCTTTTGTAACTTATTGAAATCCTCTCGCTCCGTCCATATTAGATAGAAATGAACTTGGACCAGTGAGGGAGCTTCATATACCTGAACACTGGATCAACATTAGTGTCTATATACTATACATGCCTTACTATTTACACGTTCTGTCACATATACATAGGTTCTTAAGTTTATGCACATCTTATATCATTTATACACATATTCTGTCACTTATACACATGTTCTCTCACTTATACATTCGTTATGTCATTTATGCACATGTTCTGTCACTTATTCATATTTTATGTCATTTACACAAATATTCTATCATTTATACATGTGTTATGTCATTTATACATATATTTTGTCGTTAACACACACTACACACGTATGGTCTGTCATTTATACATATGTATGGTCACATATACATACATTGTTACATATACATAAAATTAAGAGAAATAGAGAGATAAAGTGAGAGGTATATATGTAGGTACAGTATATAAAGATATTTTTAGCGACAATATTAACCCATTTGCTAACCCGTGTCTCCCCTCCGGCAGAATGATGACCGCACAGCAAATGTGTCGCCCTTGGGCCCTCCTGATGGTGGTGTTGGTGGCTGGTGCTACACAGGTGAGCTCCTCCTCCTCCTCCCCCCAGCAGGACGACCCAGCCTCCTCCCCCTCCCACATCGAGGAGAAGCGTGTGGGCTGGTCCTCCATGCACGGCACCTGGGGCAAGCGACCACACCTTGAAGACGCCCAACTCGACGTAAGTAAGAGTGTGTGTGAAAGGAGATTATTTGGATCGGTTCTGTGTGTAGGGAAGGTATAATGTGCTCGTGTCATTATACTTAATATAGTAGCATCGATTTCTTTCATTATTAACAAGCATACGACAAAGGTAACTGTGTTCATAAATATACCCAAGTGTATATTTGTATTGGAGTATAATGGAAAGATCAAGCACGTACACTTCATAACACAAACACCTGAAGCTCGTGGAGGTGACGTAGTTACTGAGCGAGCCAACACATTGCGACAACTACGTCCCCATAACCTTCCTCTCGTAGTCAAACAACGTCCGATATAAATTATTACAAAAGAGCAGAGTGGTGATACAGTCGAATGGAAAGCTTGTGACTGCAGGTACAAGGGTCTCTACCACACACTCATACCTGCTTGACGGGCCTTTGAACAAGTGATAAATTCCTCAGAGATAAAACTTTTGGGACCACTTCCCCCACTTGACCCAAAGAGGCAGAATGACCTTTAACAGGGTGGGGTCTGGAGAGGGGGGAGGGATATCATGAGTGTAGGATGTAGAAGCTTTAAAGTGAAGCTGACATTAAGCTTTTACACCACTCAGAAAATAATCTCAAGTCTTATAGTCAACCAAAGGGATTATTAATGTGTGTGAACTAAATCAAACAGGTGAGTTATTCCATACTGTCTTGGTTAACTAATGGCGGACTTTATACATACTGGGAAGAAAGACATCTCCATGGTATTGAGTTTTCTTGGCTGACCTTATGACCAAAAATATTCAACTCGTAAATGAGTATGATAATTCAACCCTTGAGTACGATAAGTAGATCTAAGTTGATCTTTTGAGTATGATGAAGTTAATCTCCTGGATACGATAATTTAATCTCGAGTGTACGATAGTTTAATCATTCGAGCACGATAATTTAATCTCGAGTGTACGATAGTTTAATCATTCGAGCACGATAATTTAATTCCTTGAACACAGTGACAATAGCATAGTTCGATGTCTTGAACCTTTTAAGTACGATAGTTTGGTACTCAGAGGCGGAGCAGGAGGGATTAAACAGTTTTGTTTTTTTTATTATCTAAGCGTGACGATCACTTGTATATCAACACAAATATAAGACCTACTTATACGCACATCCATACACACACACACACACACACACACATCACACACACACACACACACACACACACACACACACACACATCTTCACAGTCCATTTTCATATTTTTTTTTCTTTTTCACCAAATTGATGTATTTAAGTTATATCTCAAAGTGTTTTACCTGGGTTAGAAATGACACACCTGTAATTAGTCATCAGGTATCACGTGTTCTTGAAGGTGTGGGGGGTAGGGATGAAGAGAGAGGGGGCTAGGTGTTGTAGGGGAAGCGGTGAGGGTAGGAGGGAGGGGGCTAGGTATTGTAGGGGAAGCGGTGAGGGTAGGAGGGAGGGGGCTAGGTGTTGTTGTTGAAGGTGTGGGAGGAGTAAGGGTGAGGAGCGAGGGACTAAAGTGTCTTGGACGTGTCTATCCATTGCAGTCGGTGTTGATGTTGCGTAAAGTCTAGGGTTATGCATACCCACGTTTAACTTAATAGGTGTTAGTTGTGTGTGTGTGATAATAATAATAATAATAATTAACGGTTTATTGAAAAAATTCTGCAGCCCGAAGGCTGAAAATATACATTGGACATAAATGACTTATTACTTACATTGGTGGTTTAACAAAAGCCTTCATTAGAGAAAGGTAAAGGAACATACAGTGAACATACAGATTAGTGTAGGTGTTGAACAGCAAACTCGTAGTGTAGTAACTCCCTCCCAGATGGTGTTAGGGAGTGAACTCACGTGGTGTAGTAGTTCCCTCAGATGGTGTTATGAGGGACCTGGCGTGGTGTAGTAATTCCCTCGCAGATGGTGTTATGAGGGGCCTCACGTGGTGTAGTAATTCCCTCACAGATGGTGTTATGAGGGACCTCACGTGGTGTAGTAATTACCTCACAGATGGTGTTATGAGGGGCCTCACGTGGTGTAGTAATTCCCTCACAGATGGTGTTATGAGGGGCATCACGTGGTGTAGTAATTCCCTCACAGATGGTGTTATGAGGGGCCTGACGTGGTGTAGTAATTCCCTCACAGATGGTGTTATGAGGGACCTCACGTGGTGTAGTAATTCCCTCACAGATGGTGTGATGAGGGACTTGACGTGGTGTAGTAATTCCCTCACATATGGTGTTATGAGGGACATGTGGTGTAGTAATTCCCTCACAGATGGTGTTATATGAGTGAGGTTTGGTCCCAGGCCTTCCTATCGTAGACGGATTAACACATCGGTGGTTGTTGTTGGGTCTCGCGGGGGCCGTTATCACTGGGTACCTGGGACCTCACTGTGTGAAGGTTAACTTGGGTACGACTGTTAATGTTGAGTTGTTCTCACTGACTTAAGCACTGTTCACCACTATTCACCTCTGTTTAACACTGGTTCCATTCCTTTCCTAAATGAAATTGTAACTTCTGGCGAGAACTTGTTGATATTCCGGTGGGGAGGAGGGTTCAGGGGAGGGAGTTGGTATGGGCCAACTTAACAGTTGACCTGGCTGCTCCGAGAAGAGCGCCAGGTACGTCTTGACCCTTCGGTGGTCAAGGGTGTGTGTGTGTCTGTCTGTCTGTCTGTCTGTCTGTCTGTCTGTCTGTCTGTCTGTCTGTCTGTCTAACTGTCTGTCTGTATGTCTGTCTGTTTTTCGGTAGAGGAGATAATTATTTATATATCCGGGAAAGATAATATTAACATAAACTCAACATAACATAACTTAAACAGCATTTAACTAATTGCATTTATATTGACAACCGTTGCGTAAACCGGATATAATACGATTAAATACATTTATATTAATATCCCATACGTAAGCCGGTTATAATCTCTCCATTACTCTTCCTTGGGTATCTTTTTATGTTAGCAAGCTTCCTATTGGTCAGTAGTTTCTTATTTACAAGAATCGAATCTGTAACCTGGTTTCTTATTGGTTTATGCTGTTTGGCCAAGTGTCAGGAGGTGGGTAAGGTAAACAGAGAGAGAGAGAGAGAGAGAGAGAGAGAGAGAGGACTACATTTGAAAAATCAATGAGAGAATATATATAATTATTCATATATAAAATTCTCAATATTAAAAAAAATATCTTTAACACTCGACTACAAGTACAGTATATGTGGGCGCCAGGAGCAGAAGTACCTTGGCCATCTCTCGCTAATATCACCGCAGCTGTGTCACAACGACTCTCTCCCCTCCCTTCCCGTGTACTACTGCCGTTATCATACAGCGGGGCCCTGACTCAGAGGCCTCCTAGTGGAATCTTCCCCTTAAACCCGGCGATATGAGTCTGCTAACGAGTTGAGTGAACGTATGTACTGTACAGGTATATGGTTGAGGTAGAGTTTTCTTAATGTTATTTTTTAGGGGTGTTTTAAGTGTTTTGGTTCAGATGGTTTAGTTAGGTTCGTTCTGTCATCTTCACCTGCGAGGTATAACCATGTTAGGTTACCTTAATGTGTTTGGACCTCGCAGCCTGAATATCGTCGCCTGTACCTGAATTGGCTGCTTGTGCAATTAACCAGGCCGTTCACATATATTTATTATTTGGGTTTAAGTAACGAAACCCAAACGGTAGTTCCTTTGTTTTATTATAAAAGGGTTGTATATATAATTCCTGAGTGTAGATCAACCGTAAGTTCCACTGTCTAGGAGTGAATGAGAAGGGGACGGCGTTTATGTATTATAAACGTTAGGTCACGTCCTTACGATATAAGTTGATGTGAGCGACTCATGAGTAGTGACCCATCGAGGGAGAACGGTATGGGTACGTCGTTCCCCCTCGAGGGAAGACGGAGCCATCCACTGCGGCTCTCAAATAACGTCTTCCTCTAGTTAAGGATATCAAACTACTGCTCGCTTCAGGTGGCCAGAGAGCCGGCGACTTATGCCTTTACTCAGCATAGTATGACGCAGCTTCCCGTGGGCACACCTTATCACGTGCATTGAACATGTCACCTCATAGCCAGTGGAAAGTTACAGGGTAGTGAATCTGACTGTAATATCAGATGCATTGACTCATTTATATAATGTGTTCTGTTGACGAGACAGGGGCCCATTACATCCCAGAGAGTTCTCGTACTTACTAAGTGATCCCAAGGCGTCAGTGATACCAGCTCAGTTGAGTACTAACGACACATCACGTGATTAAACTACACACACACACACACACACACACACACACACACACACACACACACACACACACACACTGTTTTACTGTGTGTGTGGGGGGGAGGGGGGGCAACACTTTAATTACAAGAGAAGTAAAGAAACTTTGTAACAATGCAAGATTTACATTCTTCCTTTAGTCAGTCCCAAGAGTCTTCTGGCCACCCCACCTCCTCTCATGTGCTTTAGATAATCATTCCTCACTCCCTGATAATACAATAATACTTCCCTCATCTTAAAAACGATCACATCTACCCACGTCAACTCCCCCGTGATGGTGCGTGGGTGTGTGGACGTATCCCAGCACCTGGCGTGTGAGGGAACGTTCAACCGTATGAAACCATGTATGTGGTCAGGAGGTAATCATGCGTCTGATAGGTACTTGTTGGTTGCCACTCAAGTGTACCCAATGATTCGTACTTAACTTTACCTAATATAGCCTAGTCTCACCTCAACAGTCCTAAGTTAGGCTCACTTCACCAGTTCTAACTTAGGCTCACCTCACCAGTCCTAACTTAGGCTCACCTCACCAGTCCTAACTTAGGCTCACCTCATCTAACCAAACATAATGTCATTGAACTTATTTTGTTTATTTATTATTAGTTTTCATTATTATTATCTCGTCAGTTTATCAGTGAGTGATGAAGTCTCCGTGTTTAGCGCCTTATTATTCAGATAATTGCCAGGAGAATAATAACTTATCAGAGTCATATTTCCGATAATGACAGTATAAGATAGGATTAAACGATCTTTTAATGATATTAGCACTGACAAATAGAACTTCCTTATATAGAATACAATGTGAGGTTATCGTTTCCCAGCAACACCCACCCTCCTCCATGTTCCCGTACACCAGCAACACGGAACATCTTTTATAATATATTAAAATTAAATAACAAAAACAGTCTTCAAATACATTCCTTGAAGTAAATAAACGAGATACGAATACTCTAAACTTTATTTGTTTATAGGAAAGTAGAGGTATGTTGTATATACTGTATTGTTTAACAGTTACCCCTCTTAAAAGACGTCAACAGGTAGTAAGGCGTATTATTGTGCATCTTACACACTATTACCCCCAGCTGCGTGATGCCTCCTGCTGTCGTAACGCTCCACTAACATCACCCAAGAGATGACTAGGTTGGGAAACTACCGCGATCATGAGGGCCGCAATTATTATTATTATTATTATTATTATTATTATTATTATTATTATTATTATTATTATTATTATTTAGATGACAAGAACCATCCCAACCTTACTTTCACCGCCTGACACCCACTGCCCATATACCATACACCTTAATCTGAATTCACAGTGTTAACCTTCGTCTCTTTCTCCCAGGCCGCCGAGGTGAAGCGGACGAACTGGAACAAGTTTCAAGGATCTTGGGGCAAACGTGGTGAGGAGCTACAGGTGAGGACTGCCTATAGGTGCAGTGATAGATGGATGGATAGATAGATGGGTAGATTGATAGGTAAACATGTGGTTATATTAATAGATTAATAATTGAATGATTACATATAACTCACCATCACTACACTCACCATCACCACTCTCACCATCACCACTCTCCACCCTCTCACCATCACCACTCTCACCATCACCACTCTCCACCCTCTCACCATCACCACCCTCTCACCATCACCACTCTCCACCCTCTCCCCCATCACCACTCTCCACCCTCTCCCCATCACCACTCTCCACCACTCTCTCCACCATCACCACTTCCACCACTCTCACCATCACCACTCTCCACCCTCTCACCATCACCACTCTCACCATCACCACTCTCCACCCTCTCACCATCACCACTCTCTTTACCTCTCCCCCACAGGCCGCTGAGGACAAGAGGACAAACTGGAACAAGTTCCAGGGTTCCTGGGGCAAGCGAGGCGATGACCTGGCTGATGCCGAACTACAGGTGAGGTCATGAACTATATGTCAGGTCATGAATTACAGGTGAGGTCATGAACTATATGTCAGGTCATGAATTACAGGTGAGGTCATGAACTATAAGTCAGGTCATGAATTACAGGTGAGGTCATGAACTATATGTCAGGTCATGAATTACAGGTCAGGTAATTTTTTCTACTTTCCTCTCCTCCTTCTCGTCCTCCTTTTCCTCTTCTTCCTCCTTCTCTTCTTCAATTTTGTCCAATCACCTCGTTATCATCCTTCTTTGTAATAATCTTATTTTCCTTCAATACTTCTTTGTTCCTTCTTCCTTGTCACCCTCTTCTGCCCTTTCCCTCATTAACATCTTGTTCTTGTCAACATTTATCGTTCCATTACCTTTTCCTGTGAGTGTTTACCCTGGCATGTTATTAATTACGCGTCACCTACCTGTTATTGAAGCATCAGTAGCAACATGTCATTAATGGGTCTAGGAAACGTTTAAGACCTCGGTATCTTAAGGAACGTTTTTTGCCATCAGTAATGTGTCATCAATGAGTCTGAAAAACGTTTTAGTTATCAGAAACATGTCATTAAGACTCTTAAGAAACGTTTTAGGCGTCAATTACATACGAAACGTTTGAGGAATCATTAAGATACCATCAGGGGCTATAAGAAACGTTTGAGTCATCAGTGGCATAAGAAACGTTTATGCATCAATAACTAGCCAGAAATAATACTTTGTAAGTCTGAGATAAAGAATAGAATCATGTTTGTTTTTGTCCAGCTTCCCTCGTCGTCATTACCTCACCTTATTGTCACTATTATTTATGAACTTTCCTTCACTATTCGCACCTTCAACTCTTCTCTTCATCACTAATCATTACCACTTTTACCTACACCACTCTCACCATCACCACTCGCACCATCCCCACTCGCACCATCACCACTCTCACCATCACCACTCTCACCATCACCACTCTCACCATCACCACTCTCACCATCACCACTCTCACCATCACCACCACTCTCACCATCACCACTCTCACCACATCACCACTCACCATCACCACTCTCACCATCACCACTCTCACCCATCACCACTCCAACCATCACCACCTCACCATCACCACTGCAACCATCACCACTGCACCATCACCACTCTCACCCCATCACCACTCCCACCATCACCACTCCCACCATCACCACTCTCACCATCACCACCTCACCATCACCACCTCACCATCACCACTCTCACCATCAACACCACCACTGCACCATCACCACTCTCACCATCACCCAGTCTCCACCTCCACCACTCCTCACCATCACCAGTCTCACCTTCACCACTCTCACCATCACCAGTCCACCTCCACCACCTCCCACCATCACCAGTCCTTGACCTTCACCACCCTCACCATCACCACCTTCCTCACCATCACCACTTCCACCTCTCACACCATCACCACTCTCCACCCCACATCACCACTCTCCACCCCTCCTCACCATCACCACTCTCCACGCTCTCACCATCACCACTCTCCACCTCTCACCATCACCACTTCTCCACCCTCCTCACCATCACCACTCTCCACCCTCCACCATCACCACTCTCCACCCTCTCACCATCACCACTCTCCACCCTCTCACCATCACCACTCTCCACCCTCTCACCATCACCACTCTCCACCCTCTCACCATCACCACTCTCTTTACCTCTCCCCCACAGGCCGCTGAGGACAAGAGGACAAACTGGAACAAGTTCCAGGGTTCCTGGGGCAAGCGAGGCGATGACCTGGCTGATGCCGAACTACAGGTGAGGTCATGAACTATAAGTCAGGTCATGAATTACAGGTGAGGTCATGAACTACAAGTCAGGTCATGAACTACAGGTCAGGTCATGAACTGCAGGTCAATTCATTCACCTTGTTAAAATTCATGTGTAAGGTTAGGAAAATTTGTACAGAATGTTGATTATTTTTTTTTTCATTATTCCCTGATCGAATGTTTGCGAAAGTGTAGCTGTATTGCTGCTTGTCTGTCTGTCTATGATAAAATTTCATTTTTATCAAAACTTCTCTGGAACTCATGAATTTCTTGAATGTTTGATGTTGTGGTGTGTTGTGGCAGGATATTGTGCGGGGCTGTTGAACATGTTGCACAGTCAATTAATTTTAGAGTTGATTTTAAATAAGACAGTTAGCAGTTCAATAAAGGAAAAGACGGCATAGAAAACGGTAGATAAAGAGGAACTAGTGAATCAGACGGTACAGTACTTACAACTGGGGGAGAATGAGTGTGTGTGTGTGTGTGTGTGTGTGTGTGTGTGTACATCCCTTACTACACATAGACTGAGGCAACACACCTTATGGTTTTATCACTACCAGGACATCTCTTGGGCTGTGTGATGTAACTATACTTGTACTAATACTTCTCAACAAACTTTTCTGAATTGATATCATACTTTCAGTGACATTATCCCTCTTCGCCCATCTTCACTACACGATACATTCACATCTTGTTCTCACCTGACCTAACTTAACCTGGTCTACACTAACTACAGCCCCTTGTGTCCTCCTCTTCCCCACAGGCCGCTGAGGACAAGAGGACAAACTGGAACAAGTTCCAGGGTTCCTGGGGCAAGCGAGGCGATGACCTGGCTGATGCCGAACTACAGGTGAGGTCATGAACTATAAGTCAGGTCATGAATTACAGGTAAGGTCATGAACTACAAGTCAGGTCATGAATTACAGGTAAGGTCATGCATTTCTGATCTTGTCCTCAACTACAGGTCTTGTCATGAACTACAGGTCTTGTCCTCAACTACAGGTCTTGTCATGAACTACAGGTCTTGTCCTCAACTACAGGTCTTGTCATGAACTACAGGTCTTGTCCTCAACTACAGGTCTTGTCATGAAATACAGGTCTTGTCATGAACTACAGGTCTTGTCATGAACTACAGGTTTTGTCATGAACTACAGGTCTTGTCATGAACTACAGGTCTTGTCATGAACTACAGGTCTTGTCATGAACTACAGGTCTTGTCCTGAACTACAGGTCTTGTCATGAACTACAGGTCTTGTCATGAACTACAGGTCTTGTCCTGAACTACAGGTCTTGTCCTGAACTACAGGTCTTGTCCTGAACTACAGGTCTTGTCATGAACTACAGGTCTTGTCATGAACTACAGGTCTTGTCATGAACTACAGGTCTTGTCATGAACTACAGGTCTTGTCATGAACTACAGGTCTTGTCATGAACTACAGGTCTTGTCATGAACTACAGGTCTTGTCATGAACTACAGGTCTTGTCATGAACTACAGGTCTTGTCATGAACTACAGGTCTTGTCATGAACTACAGGTCTTGTCATGAACTACAGGTCTTGTCATGAACTACAGGTCTTGTCATGAACTACAGGTCAGATAAAGCACCTGTGAATATTTGAGGGTTGGTGACCACGACCCTCCACTTCAAACGTCATGGGATTCTCTTTATCTCTCCCTCCATTTTCTCTATCTCTCAGGGGATCTGTATTTAAATCTCAATCATCCGTCCCTGTCTCAGTCTTCCTCTCATCCCTCTGTCAGTTTTACCCATTAATACTGCATCTACCTAATCCCGTATCTTCACCACTGTCCACGCTTTTAAGTTCATTTGTAATATTCTGAATATGGTGTGCGTCAGCAATGGAAAATTGTCACTTTCACCACTCTCACCATCACCAGTCTCACCTTCACCACTCTCCCCATCACCACTCTCCACCCTCTCCCCATCACCACTCTCCACCCTCTCACCATCACCACTCTCCACCCTCTCACCATCACCACTCTCCACCCTCTCACCATCACCACTCTCCACCCTCTCACCATCACCACTCTCCACCCTCTCACCATCACCACTCTCTTTACCTCTCCCCCACAGGCCGCTGAGGACAAGAGGACAAACTGGAACAAGTTCCAGGGTTCCTGGGGCAAGCGAGGCGATGACCTGGCTGATGCCGAACTACAGGTGAGGTCATGAACTATATGTCAGGTTGGCTCTCTCTCTCTCTCTCTCTCTCTCTCTCCAAGAACACATAAACATTGACTCGGAACCTAACCTAACCCTTCTTAAACTATTCCTCAGTACTTTCCTCCAACACTAACAAACATCTTAAGTGACATTCCATCACGTAACACAAACCTCAAGTAACACACCAACACGTAACACAAACCTCAAGTCACACATTCCATCACGTAACACAAACCTCAAGTAACACACCAACACGTAACACAAACCTCAAGTCACATCCCAACACGTAACACGAACCTCAAGTAACACCGGTACCTCAATAACTAACCCAAGTCCTCGGAATCCCTAACAGAAAATAGTTAACTCAATATCCGACAGGTAGACAAAATTATCTTTCATCAGCGGGGCGTAAGGTGATGGTATGTGAGGATCTCGGTGACACTGAGTATATTTCAGGTAAGTTTTAAACCCCTCCCACCGGACCCCGAAGCGACTGAAGATATTGGCCCGTTATTAAAAGACAGGGTAGAGAGAGAGAGAGAGAGAGAGAGAGAGAGAGAGAGAGAGAGAGAGAGAGAGAGAGGGTAGAGAGAGACGCCCAGATATTCTTTCTACTCCTACTGTATTTCAGTTTCACCACTTTTTCTTCAACCCCTAATAATCTTCTTTCGCCTCATAACTCATGACTCCGCCGCCGCTAGTGTTATGTTTTTATTGAGTTTTCATATTTTTATTATCAATCTGTTTTTCTTCTTTTATTTCTTCTTCCATTTGCGTGAAAAATTTGTTTATTGATAACGATAATAATAATAGCAACGATGAAGATACTCATAATAAGAATAAAAGTAATAATGATAACATGATAAATATAACAACAATAATGGAATAATAATTACAACAATAACACAGAATTAATACTAATACAGATAAAAGTAAGGGGAATATAATGATCAATAAATACGTTTATAATTAAAATTTATATTATCTAAGAGAGCCTGACCCTCCCTCCCCCGCAGGCCGCTGAGGACAAGAGGACAAACTGGAACAAGTTTCAGGGTTCCTGGGGCAAACGTAACAACTGGAGAAGTCTACAGGTGAGTCTGGCCCAGGTTTTCTGCTCTGATAATAATGATAGCTATTGTTGGTGAAGATAACGGGTTAGTGTGACCCAGGTGTTGTGTGATATGGATAACATTAATAAAAATAAAAACGTTAGATATATAAACATTATTACTGTAAAATCATATTAAGAACAAGAATAAAGTATCAACTAAATCAAAATTACTGGCCAGTATTACTACTACAACAACTACTACTACTACTACTACAACTACTACTACTGCAACAACTACTACTACTAATGATGATGATAATAAATTATTTTTATTCTTTGGTTCAAAATTGGTTTGACACTGATTTTATAGACACACACACACACACACACACACACCTGACTCATGACTCACTTTATTACATGGAAGATTTTCACCTTCCTCCGCCACCACCAGGGGTCCTGGGGCAAGCGGGCGTGGAACAAACTGCAGGGAGCGTGGGGCAAGCGCTCTGAGGACGACAATGGCGACGACCTGTACGACGAAACCAACCTGGAGGAAGACTTGGCCGGCAACGAGGAACAGGTGTCCCCACTGGCGCTGGCTCGCCTGATGGCTGCTGCTCCCCAAAAGAGAGGCTGGACGCTCTGGGGCAAGAGACCCGACAACACCCGCGTATCACCCCGCTCAACCAACTGGTCCAGTCTTAGAGGTCAGTGCCAGTGTCAGGGGTCAGTGCCAGTACTGTAGCAGGGTCTATAAAGAGTACAAGGTTAACTTTAGGGGTCAGTGCCAGCGCCAGGATTCATCAAAAGTACCAGAGATCACTGCCACTACCAGAGGTCAAGGTGAGTACCACAACCAAGAGTCACTGACAACACCCGTTTCTCAGTGACAAGAGCCAAGTTCACTGTTACTATCAGGGGTCAGTGCCAACTACCAGCCAAGGTGACAGTATGGCTGTGGTGATAATGAGAGGACCTGGTCACCTGGTATTCATGATCGTTAAGGCCGTCAACTACTGCTAAATGGCCTACTTCTCAGAGGCAGGAGGATGGTTCTCTCTCTTTCTCAATATCTTTCATCCATATGGTAGTCGATCTTCCTCTGAGTCTTATCTTACCTCGTAGGATCCAATAGATGCTTTCCCTGGCCTCTTATTGTTCTGTTCCTGTTAAAATCCTAAACTGGAGGAACCACTCTGAACACTCAAGAGATAGTGAAGACATTGTTAGATTCCTCGTGGTGTTGATTTACCGTGTGGTGTTACCTGCGAGAGAGACAGAAGGACCTCTTGTTTGAGGGGGGTGGGGGGGTCAGCTTCTCATACGCCACCCAGACCTTTGTGGGCGTGATGTACTGTTTTAATACACGTCCTATTCTTCATCTCCCTCCACTCCACCTCACCTCTCACCACCAGCCCCTCTCCCCTGCCTTCCTCACCTCAGTTTCTCACCAGCACCACCGTCCCTCTCTACCTTCCCTTCATCTTCCCAGTCACTCACCACTCACCCCACCCCACCCCTTCCCTCTGTACAGAACGAGGTAATATGAGTCGTATACGTAAGGGAGCGTTAATCTGAGGCGGCGGCAGACTAGTGGGACAGGTAGATAGGCATATAAGAAGCGTTGTGTTTACGTGGCGCTGACAGCGATTTACACATACACTTCTCTCAGTAATGAGTGTGTGTGTGTGTGTGTGTGTGTGTGTGTGTGTGTGTGTGTGTGTGCGTTGAGGATGTGTTTTACCCGTGTGAGTGTAGCAGAGGTGTAAAGGCAGCTGCGTCTTGCATACGTGTTAAGTGAGCAAGAACTTGGAAGGACGAAGAGTTACGAATAAAACCCCCTGTTGTTCAGTCGTGGCACTACTGTATAGGGAACGTCTTGAAGGTAAAAGTTTGTAACTGTGTGTTAGAAGTATATAGACTTGACAACACTGCACAAGAGCCTCTTCGTGTTAAGGTAAGTTACCCAGTTCGTTGTTTGTCACTCTGGCAGTGTGACGGGCTGGAGACGCCCACATAATTCCATTATGACTGTTGGCGCTGTTGAAAACGACTGAGAAATCGTTTTTCAATTTCCTATAATCAAAAGTTTTAACGTCTGGGTCAATGCGGAGAAGTGTACGTTCATCTTGTGGCTGTGTCCGGAACACACACACACACACACACACACACATACACACACATACACACACACACACACACACACATACACACACACACACATACACGCGCGCACGCACACACATACACGCACGCGCACACACACACACACACACACACACACATACACGCGCACACACACACACACACACACACACACACACACACACACACACACACACACACACACACACACACACACACACACACAGTAAAGTAGCAACCATGATCTTCCTGTAGCAGGTAACAATTAACGCTATTCCTACTCCGGCAGGTACCTGGGGTAAGCGAAGCGCAGACTGGAACAAACTGAGGGGCGCCTGGGGCAAACGTGCCTCTGACTGGGGACAATTCCGAGGATCTTGGGGCAAGAGGGCTCCCGGTAAGTTGTTCTAATACAGACGTCAAGATCATGATCACTTCATTCTTGGCAAAAAAACCTGCTTACATATGTTCCTTGTTACGTATAATGGACTCATCCACATAAGGAGACTGCACTTACCATTATCTCTTAGCATACATTAACCCATTGCTTAAAGGAACTAAGAATCATTCGACCACAAGAGTAAAGATTTCTGTGGTCCCGTGTGACGTGTCCGGGGTAGTGAGGTTCTCTCCCTGGTAGGAACACCACGTGGAGACTCTAACTCCTGGTCGTATGAACAGCAGAGTTGAGACCCCGAGTTTGACAAATACAAGAGGCGTGGGTTGTAGGAGCTCCAGGGTCATAGATAATCTGGGGGGGGGACGAGGATGTATGTCATCACTGCTGAGGCATGTCTGTCTGTCTGTCTGTCTGTCGTGTATGGTGGGCGTCTCCAGCAGTAAGATGCCCGACACCTGTTTCAATGAATCCTGAAGGAAGTGAATATTGGATCACTTATTGTCATCATATATTACAGGATGTCGGTCACACTAGAATAACCCGTTATAATAGTTCCTTCTTTCCCCGCACAGCCAAAATGTGGAATGCTTTGAGCCTTCTTCTGTGTTTTCATCCTCTTGCAATCTGTCTCACTTCAAAAAGTTGGTTTTCCGGCATCTTCACCTCCAGACCAAGTGAATAAGACAAGTTGTAAAAAAAAAATGTAGAAATCAATAAATTATTAAATAAATGAGTAAATAAGCGCAAAATTAGATATAGAAAATGCACTACTGTGAATTCTAAGAACAAAAACGACATTAACTTCAAAGATTTACTGTAAAAACGACCATATCAACTCAAATTAAAATCTCAGTCATACCCAACGATTTATGCCATACTTCAACATAAATCAGAGAGAAATTGAGTACAGTACATCCTAACATCTTTTGCACCTTAAGAACAAGATAAAACCACCCCACCCCACCCCACCCCACCCCACCCCACCCCACCCCACCCCTTGGTCTCTCCCACATGTGATAGTTAGGGAAGCCTCCGGTAGGTTGGCGCTCAGTTCTCTGCTAATGAAATCGTGTGTAAGCAGCCATAGGAAGGTCTTATGGTGGGTGGCTTCTGCGACCGACCATCTCACATTATATACTAAACTATATTAAAAACTTAACCACTCTACTGTTTTCATTGGTCTTGGGTCCTAATGGGTGCTAGTGGTAATGAGTCTTGGGTCCTAATGGGTGCTAGTGGTAATGGCTTTTGGTGATAATGGGTGCTAGTGGTAATGGGTCCTGGTGCTAATGGATCCTGCAGCTAATGGGTCTTGGTGATAATGAATCCTGCTATTAATGGGGAACTGATGCTAATGGGTCCTGGTGCTAATGGGTCCTGGTGCTAATGGGTCCTGGTGCTAATGAGTCCTGGTGCTAATGGTTCCTAATGTTAATGGGTAACTGGTACTAATGGGTTATTGAGTTAATAGGTCCTGGTGCTAATGGGTCCTGGTGCTAATGGGTCCTGGTGTTAATAGGTCCTGGTGTTAATAGGACCAGGTGATAATGGGTCCTGGTGCTAATGGGTTCCAATTTAACATCCTATTAGACCTGAGATCTATGAGGACTCGAGTACCTCCTCATCCCCTTAGTTGTGTGTGTGTGTGTTAATCCACGGACCTGTTACTTAGCACATTCAGTATATAATGTTTCATAAATTGTTTCGTAAATAAGGAACTTGTTAGATAAAATGTTTACATAGTTTGTCACTTAAATACTCATAGAAAATATTCTCTCTCTCTCTCTCTCTCTCTCTCTCTCTCTCTCTCTCTCTCTCGGCTGCCTTGTGATTCCTTAACACTATGAGTCTAACAGTTGCTGGATATGCTCCCCGTTTTTCTTTTAATTACCTGACCAATTATATTTGACCTCCGCCAATCACCTTTCTTCCCGGAGCAAATTGGACAGAGACATTTTTACGGCGGCCGTTAATGTGTGTGGGTTGGGTCATTTCAGGAAGGAGTTAATGATGACAGCGAAGGTAATGGGGCTGACAATGGACCGCCTACCACAAACATGAGTGTTGCCAAGTCAGCGGAAAGGTTATCAGATCAAGAGAATTTCAGCGTCCACTTGGGAATTATTTTTTTAGGGGGTGGGGGCGGTTGGTTTTAGTGAGAATTAGTTAGAATTTTAGACAGGTGAGTTTTTACTGCGTTGGGGTTGAGTTTTATGGAATTAAGCTACACTTTTAGCAGGAAAATTTGTAAAATAGCAAAATATAGTTAACTTCAAGGTCCTTTTATCCGTTCATTTATATGAGTTTTGATCAATTTTCGAGATTGTATTAATGAATTTCATCGACTTAATGGATTGATTTGGGTGAATTATACCGAGCCTGATTTAGCGTGTGTTAACCTAAACCTAAGCAGTTTCCGGATTATGAGAAATAGAAAAAGTAAATAATTTCTTCATTTCTCGGCGATAACACTGACCTGTTCTCGTAAAAGTGGTGGGTAGTATAACTGTGAGAACCGTCTATTAAAAATTAAAAATAAACGTATTAGTTTCCCTCAGAAAGAAACGAAAGCCTGACGAAAAAAAACGAAAACCGAATCCGACAAATGAGTTCAGGGGGTTTTTCTTCCCGCCCTCGTTGTGGTTTTTCCCGCCCTCGTCAATTACTCGCGAAAATTAAGTTAAAGTCTCCGGCGAAGAGTATTAAAGGGGACTAAATGAGAGAAAAATTATGATAATGCAAGGGAGGGAAATCTAGAAAGAGGAGAAGTGAGGTAAAGGGAGGAGGAATTATAAGATTATTGAGTGGTGAGGAAACGGCTGGCGTTGACACTTCCCTCTCTCCCTCCTTCCTTCCTTTACTCTCTACTCACGTCTCTTTTCCTCACTCGCAGTCATTAAACTCTTCTTTCATTGAGAAAAAATTACCTCACTGTACAGACAATATGTCTTCAATTACATTAAGAGAGAGGAATGTAACTTTAGCCTTTCAATGCCTAAAAATGTCATTCTAATACTGCATCGGCCTGAAGGAGTGCTTGGTATATATTATTGATACCTAACTTTAGAATGTAAGTATAAAATCAGAGTTATTTTCTTTTATTATTATTATTATTATTATTATTATTATTATTATCGTCTTTTGAGTTACTTTTCGTCTTTTGTTTATTTCTATTGTTTATTTTGTGTTATTTGGTGATTATTATTAACGTCAATTGATGTTTTCTTTTTCTCCTCGTTTCAGATATGATGAGTGTGGCCGCACCCAACCAAGCCTAAATGTATCGTTTATCACCACCATACAAGTTCCCCCAGCTGATGTGTTCCTTGGTTACCCCAGGACCCTACGTGACCCCACCTCCACCTGGCACCTCCACCTCTGACCCTCCCACCCACCCCTATGACCATACCCCCCCAATCTGGTACCTTATCCTGGCATTATTCCTCTAGTTTTGACCCTACACTTGGCACTAACTTCACTTGTTGACCCCCCACCTGCACCTGGCACCCTCACCTATGACCCTAATTACCTCTGGCACTCTACCTATGTATGAGAGCCTATTCCCAGCTGACACTGTACCCATACCTGGCACCCCTACCTGGCACCCTTACCTGGCACCCCTGGCTGGTACCCACCTGACACTTTCAGGCTTCGCTTTCCACACCTTACACAGTGCCACCTCGCCCCCCCCCACCCCCGGCTTCCTTCCCTGATTTGTTAATATTACTCGACGATTTCCTGGTACCTGTGAATATATGTGTACACGTCTTCACTATACGCTCAGTGTGTTACTACTCAACTGTCTGCCACTGCTGGTGTGTGTGAACCCCAATAAGGTTTTAAGTGTGTTGGACATTAGCTAGACAAGATGAAATACTCAGCCAACACGTGCAGTATTACCGCCGGGAGCCGTAATCTCTACAATTTACAAACTAATAACTTTAATATAAAAAAAAACTATCCCCTTTTGAAAGAAATATATTAATATGTATTGGTCTGTGTTTCATGGATGACTTAAAAAAGAAAAAAATGATGGTAGTTGTTTGGATAATCCAGGATTGTGGTTACCAGTGCTTGTGAAGGGATCGGGTTGGAGGTGACTTTATGTACAGTTGAGATTTATATTCCCCTCGAGTTTACTAAAATCAATATAAACTATTTTTTCTTGTCTACAGTATATATATATTACATAAAGAATCTACATATGAAATGATTCCTGTAATAATAGAATATAAATGTTGAATGACATCATATTTGTAAAATAGAAAATACAAAGAGAAGTCTAAACTGATATTTTTATGTCCGTATTTTAGTTATACTAGATAATGGAATGAAGACTACTCTTTCTGCTGCTAACTTTCTATAAGGTATGTGTGGCATCATGTTTAGGGACTCACATTATATACAATATACAGTAGAGTACAGCGTGCATGGTATCAGACGAGGTACTTTAATATAAGAGTACAGTATGTGTGGTATCAAAGTCTAGGGACATTACTTTATATAGAATACAATATGTGTGTGGTACAGGTACTCTGAGGACACTACCAGGTCTCAGGAGAGGTGAGTGTCCCCGACGGTACCGCAGAAACAGGAAATAAATGCAAATATGATAATACTTCTCTAGTTAACTTGTGTGTACAATTTACCCGACAATAAAATGCGGCACGTATCCACCTGTGTGTTTTATTTACTCCCACACATTAATTCACTGTGAATTTCCAGCATAAAATAGTGTGAATAGTGAGTCAGGCTGGAAGTTAAGGGAGGCATCATATAATGAAACTCGCCCTTAATTTCATGCTAATATATCTTCATAATAGTGTAAATCAAGTTATTCTTTCATTTATTTCACCATCTCTGGTCGCATGTAGGAGACGCTGGTGAGAATATTTTGTCAGGTATTTAATAGCATCGGTACCCAAGAAGTCAACACTTAATTATATTTCCACATCAACGGAAGAAAATAAAAACTTGACAAAATTCATGTTTAATACGAATCTAAGCCGATTGAAGGAACTTGTTTTAAATTCCCAATATTTTCGTTTACATCGTCAGCGATCTGAGTGCTTACGTTCAGCTGATTCATCTACTCATTTCATCTATATTTACAACATGGTTACCATCGAGTGAGTGTGTCTAAATCTGTGTCCATCAATTGAATCATAACAGCAGATCTACGAATTGTCACCAGGTAAGATTTCTGAAATGTAATCTACACATGTTGTTGAGTGTTGGGTAAGATATTTAATACGAGTTAGGGCGTTTTAGATTTACTATAGATACAAGAGAATAGTAGCTGTCATCTTAGGCCAATACAAGTGGCAAGTGATTTGGATTTTACTTTTCATTCTAATAACTATGGACGTGAAAATTAAATATGTTCTAAAAAAAAGAAAAATGTGTGAACATGTTTCATTTTATTATCATGAAACTAGATAAATCAGTTCGATAATACATAAATATGGTACAGTACAGTATTGGGGATTCAACGTTTTCTTTTAACATTTGTTGATGGAAAGGCTATATTATTTCTTTATTGATTATTTAATTGTTTAATGCTAATTATTTTGTTTTATATTTGTTCTACAATTATCCATTGCTCTATCGCAGATAGAGAATTTTTTTAAAAGTTTGGAAGTTGATTAAAATCGACGGTGAAAGTAGGAAAGTTGACATAAGGGTTGAACGTTATATTAAATGAGGCTCTGTAGAGAACTTATCCCGGTTGGTCATGAGGCTTCCTTTAAATTTTTGTCATGCCTGAGGTAAAAGTCGCAGGCAAATGATGAAGAGTACAGTTATGTTCAGAAAATAATGAGGACGTAATGATATTTTGGATGTGTATTTTCCTCATGGGACTGTAAACATTTACATCAAGGGTCACGGTTTATTTTTTGATAAATTAAGGTTTCAACTCTAAATACAGTGACGATTCCAGAATGTATATATACTGTATATGTAAACAATCATCCCCTATTCACCACACTGCATTCATCAACTAATGAAATGTTTTCTGCTCAGGTAATGCACAGTGAATAATGAAGAATTTAATTTTGTCAGTGAAAAAGCCTGAAATCAGAAATTTGAGGGAGAGTCAGGGTTAATAAAGTTGGAGGCATCGACCACTAATACACATGCCAGGGCTCATTAATTAGCTCCACCCAACACAACTAGACTGGGTCTGTATCCGCCCCCACCCCTACCCAGCCCCAACCATGAAAACGACATTGCTGGTTTTCCCATTATATTTGTTAGTTGTTAGACACCCTTTGTTGTTTTTTATTATGATTAACTTCCCCCATTTATGATATCTGCTTTTGTCATAATCATGGTACTCTGCTTTTTTCGTTTGAGTATTTTTAGTTATTTTTTTTTACTTTATTGTATTTTGTGCTTTTGTTATACACCAATGGGCAGGTTTTCATTGTTTTTAACATTGTGTATTTTTCTATTGTTTGCTACACAATACTGCATTTTTTTTTACGGTATTTGGTTACCTTTCCTTCGGTTACTTTTTCCCATTCGTCTTCTTCCTGACACTTGTGTGGCAGTCAACACAGCTTCATCTCATCTATAGCAGCCTTGAGGGGCCCACCCAGGTGCGAGCGGAAATTGGTTTATCAATTTAAAGATTATCTGAAATCGTTTGAGGGCGGAAATGAACATCGGTATCCGGCTTAGTAAGTCCTCCAGAACGGGAGATGTGCCGGTGACGATCGTAAGAGTTAGGATGATGGCCACACCCCGGCCTACTGTAGTATCCTAAGTAACGTGATAAATTTGGCTCGCTATAAACAAGATAATTGTTGTTTTCTCGAAGTATTTACGCTGTTATTACCCCAGGACAGATCTGTCTCGCTAGCCGAAGGAAATGTTCTTGACCACCAGTTAAAGTTGTCATATGAAGCTTTATCATCCCCGCTTAAGTGATTGGTCACTGCTGCAGGTGTTCGGCCAGGCAGTCAGTTTCTCGGAGGTCACGACACAAAGTTAGTGGGAGTACCATGCTAACCTAGTGTCCCTGCAGTACCCTGCTGACCTATACCCTGTGTTAGAGTGATTAATATTTTAACACTAAAGGCAAGTTTACATGGTGGTAACCAACTGATACATTGGAAGCAAGATTTTAGGCCCTTTCGTAATGTTTGAATGTTCAGTGATGATTTCTTCCCGTATCCACAGAAGATAATATGTGAACTATATACATAAAATTTGCACAGTAAACACGGACTGTTAGTTAAATGATGTCCGATAGGAACATAATTTATGATTTGTCGTGCAACGTCAACAGCAACCAGAGCATGATGCTTCAAGTTCCCAAGTGTTTTTATGGGATTTTATATTTTTAATTAATCTCTCAAAGGACGGTTGCATGTTTTTTTTTCCGTTAAGGGCAACCTTGAATCCTGTAGGTTCTAATTAGACAAAAAATAAAAATTTTCGCGAAATTTTTAATGTTATTTTTTCACAACATTTTTATTTTCATTCGAATACTAAAACTTTACGAGTTATTTACCTGGAAGCTTTTTAACTTCTAAAACGTTCAGCAGTTTTACTGAATGTCCCGCTACTGACGTCGCTTGACTACTGACTCGCTCCCTGAGGAAGTCTTTTATCCCCATGGTAGGTTGCTGACTAAGCTGAAGGAAAAAGGTTACCTGAACTTCATACAGATTAATTATGTATGACTATTAAAGGTTTCTATAACTTCCCACATCAAATTATATGACCTCCTTAGACTTAAATGAAACTAAATACTGTATAGCCATGTCAGCAGCTCTGTACACGATATTGTCACTGACTGAGAATGTCATTTGTTGACAAAAATTGGTTTCGTTGCTGCGCTGTGCGAATATAAGTATACTATCTCGTGTTGTCACTCATATTTTACTTCATACTAATAATAAATGTCATTCACAAACAAGGAAACTTAATTATATTGTCAATGAACAAAAGTGGTATACAATTTGATAAACTTATTTTTGGGGGAGTTCAGCTGTAAATAAAAGTTTAAGTATCCGCTGGGCGAGTTAAGAATGCATGGTACCAAACTTTCAGTATAGTAATAACATCCTGGCTGCGACCTACACAACTACCACCACCTACTGGACCTCAGAAGCACGTTCTCACCCAGTTGTGGCGGCTTGGGGAGGGAAGGGGAAGGGGGCGTAAAGGTTCCCAAGGAGCTATAATTAAAAACAAATGACAGAAAATACTGACTATCGAACTCGTTTTAAATATTGATTATGGGTTAAGTTAATTTATATTAGGTCGAGATACTGTTTGTTTTTTGTTCTACAAAATTTCTGGTTAAGGGTAAGAAGCTGTTATGTTATCGTTCCCAAGAGGATGGACAAAATATGTTGCGGTCCTCACCATCTGGGACACATTTTGATAATCACGATATTATAAAACCTATTTCTTTTCTTCTTTTCTATCATTTTTTTTAACTGGTCCATTCGCAGCTAAATAGGATGGAAAACGTACGCCAAGAGAAGAGAAAGATTACACTAATGAACAAATCAGGGGAAACTCAGATAGGTGGTCATTCTCGACACAGTGCGAGAAGATGCAGTAGCAGTAGCTCCACTTAATTTGAACTACACGTCTGTTTTAACTTTGCTCGCTAAACTAATTTTCTGACAAATAAATTTCAGTTATTGTAAATCACCCGGTTACTGAAACTGTTTTACACCTTTTTAAGTGTTTATATTAACCGTCAACAGAGAGAACAATGGTACCAAGTGATGATTGAAATACAGTACTTCTATGGCTCATCTAGCGGATACGCTAACAGACAAGGGAAATATTCAGAGCATCGTGTCATTATTGTACACGTGGTATATTCGTTGTAATGTTTATAATTTTAATTAGTACATGAGTGTTAAACGCTGTACAACAACCTCTCCCTGACATCGCTAGCAGTCCAACCATTTTTTCGTCTTGTCGCTAAAATTCCTATTTAATACTTCTCTGTGACTTTCGACTAGTTTCACCACTTTTGTCAACATGTGCACGAACTTGTAGTTGCAAGTTGAACTATTCAATAATACATTTTCTCTGCGGGGCGGGTCACCTGAGGGGTTCCCGCCACAAATACACTACAGCTGCTCGTGTGAGTGTTCTTATGGAAGGGTGAACTTGGACTTTGGCCGGATTTTCAAGGATTTGGACGGTACAGTACATTCATTTTTCACTTTAACTGGTAGTGTAGGAACATATTATATTTACTTATGGGGCCTGGAGGTTTTTCACGCTGTGAAATATCTCTTTTAGTATAGATTCCGATGTGTCCGATAATTCCTTAAGTAAATATAATTAAACGGTATGAATAATTATCCAACTTTGCTGCTGCAGATACAATTTTAATTGAGTGATTTTTTAGATAAAAGAAAAGCTATGATTTACGGTTTATGATACAAGGAGCAGTCAGTTCTGGGGGAAGAGAATGTTACAATAGTTGCGTCCAGTTTTACAGCCGAGATAATGAACAGCGGGGACCACCCAAGGGCTGAGTACATGTTATTGTGATGTTTTAGACCAAGTACATCACCAGTGACGAGTCTCACACTCATACCTAGACGTGTGGCTGTACGCAGCTGCGGTAGTAAGGAAAGCCTCCTCTCCTCCCTGAGGATGGTGAGGCACCTCAGTGCCCAAAGGTGAGTATTAC